TCTCGGCTCCCGTGTTTACCATTTCCCCACTTGATAACCCAATCCATCATTCATGAACCGTTCGGCCGTGCCACTTTGGGCCGCGGGTGAATGAGCCACCTTCATTCATTTCAGCGAAAGGTGGCCTCAGCCATGAAAAGATACCAGCAGCACCGCCCCGGCCAAACGGGCTCCTCGCTTATGGAATGGAATCCCGTGATCGCCTACGGACCGGAATCCCACGAAACACTCCTCTTCTAATCTATCCACGCCTTGCTTGCACTCTACTGGCGAGATCTGAAACAAAAAAAGTTCCACCAATGCAATCGCGTCGTCAAACCTATACACGGCATGGATGAGAAAACACGTCTCTGCGTACCTAGACTTTGAGGTTAACTCGATTGTTATCGTCGTCGCCATCCCACAATGGCAAATCGTTGTGATATTCTCTCCTCCATGGCTCCACACAACGTCTATCTCGCACAACGAAGCGTTCGCATGGTCGACGAACGCGAAAAGGCCTTCCTCCCGTGGTCATTTAAAAAACAAAAACAAGCGGAGTCCAAGAGCAAAAAAAAAACAAAATGAACGACACAAGAAAATCACGACTTCTAGACTAAACCCAACTCAAATCAATCTCCACCACCGCCTCCCCGCCTGCCCCGCTTTTTGGCGACAGAAGGCCCGGAATAGGGGTCCCGCCATGTTGTGACGAACGCCGACGCCATCCCCAGGAAAAACTGCCACAGACAAGTCCTGATATAACAGACAGAGCACGGCGGGCGTGCGCGCGCGGGGGGGGGGGGGGGGTTGATGCCTGCCATGTCATTCGACCTTTTACCATGAAACCACTGCCTGTCGGCCCCAACTGCAGTGGGGGGGGTGAATACTCATGAAAACAAACGCATGCCGTATCTCTCTCAAACAAAGACATTGCGTGTACAGCTTTTATGTTCCCAACAACTCAGGGTTGGACACAACGACGACAACATTGAAAGCAACAGCCAGGCACGAACAAAAAGTGAATATGTCGCAAACAAAAAATTATCAAACATGAAGAAAGCACCGTATTACCTTCCACGTGCGTGTCGTTCATCGATGGTGTTACCAATACAATACAATACAATACAATACAACGGTCACCAACAACAGCATCAACAAGAACATGCAAAAACAAACGTTACGCCTAACGACTCCAGCACGTCCCTGAGCTCTTGAAGCCCCAACACAACGGTCAGGTCACCAAAAACAGCATCAACAAGAACATGCCAAAAAATATAGCTACGCCTAACGGCCTCCAGCATGTCCGCGAGCTCTTGAGGTCCCAGCATCAACCACAATACTTGCGCTACATCAAGCTTCACTCACCATCCACGTGTCCCTGATCAAGATCCGGTTCCCGATGTACTGGGAAAAGGTCCCTCCGACAGCACTTCCCACAAAGATGCTGCCAATCACGGCGAGGAAGGACATGGCTGACGACAGCTTCGACGGCAGCCTGACCTCTGCCACTTGTCCGTTGTCATCCCGCTTCAGCTCCGGCCCATCCCTGGAGCACGAGTTGTTCGTGTGTCGGTTGTCAAGTAACGTTGGCGCAGGCGTTGCCGACTCGTAATATCGTTGTGGACGCTAGCGATGAACACAACAAATTAACGCTAGAAGGCGTTATCGCAAGCGTCGCTGACTTGTCACCTAAATTGTTGTGTAATGCTAGCGATGAACTAAACAAATACAAACTAGGGGGCATTATCGCAAGCGTCGCTGACTCGTCAATTTTTTTTGTTGTGGATGCTATAAATAGCGATGAACAAGAAAAAAAAAGGCTAGGAGGGGTTATCGCCAGCCTTGCTGACTAGTCCTCTGACCGCTGTGTAATGCTAAAACCGCTAGAGCCGCGCCCCGCTGATGCCGGACCAATTTTCCAGGCTAACGAAGTGTGAGTTGACTTCGCCGGTGACATCTGGTTGCCGTCCTGCGCAGGTGGCCTCGGCTGGTGCGGGTGGCCCGGCGTCTCCCACGTTACCAGTCACGCTTGCAGGGGCTAGTCGGCTACTTTTGTCTACAATAAAACATCAACAACAAGTGCTTCTTTTGAGACAGCAACTGCCGCTATAGCGCAGCCGTTCCCAGTCGTTGCGAAGGCGGTCATGCACCCCCCCCCCCGACAACAACAGCCACTCACAGCAGTACGGCATATGGAGGTACTGGATAGAGAGATCGGAATGGGCTTTAATGTGTTACAATTGCTTTTGCGACTATTTACAGCTGCTGCCACTTATAGCGCACCTGTTCATCGTCATGCCGAAGGTGGTCATACCCCCAATAAGCTTCACCCCCATCCCCGCCGAGGGGAAGGCCAGGACAAACAGCGCCATGAGGCCGTGTCGAGTGGCACACCGCTTGCCGTGAACCTTGTCGGGTACCTTAACCCAACCTGTACACATACACAAACGACCGCAGGACAGCAGGCGTTTTTTGTTTATTGTAATATTATTATACAAACGGGGATTCAGCTCGCTCGCAACACCTGAACAGCGCGTGGTCCGACCGCTTCACGCCGAGAGACGACCATGAGTCGGACGAACCGAATATCAAAGCCTCGAACATCCGGGGCAGTTTGTTTGGGGGCAGCAACCTTAGGAAAAAATGGTTTCTCATGGTGACCATCGTTTGTACTAAGCTTTATGCATGGTTGGGTGGGCCCGTTGTATCAACCCATCCTGGACCGATTGTCCACGCCACGACTCCCTCGCACGTTAAGCATACACACAGATGTGTCCGGCGCAGCCGCCAAGGGCGAGGAGTTCGACACGTGTGTAACGTTCATGGCGGGACATCCTTAGCAAGGAAGCGCAGGACCTCCAGTAGCAATGATGCAGCACAACCGTCACCCGCGACGTGAGGAAAGTGGGTGCTTCGAAGGTCCAATCACACGCCAACAAATTACATGGTAGGAGGAATTTCAATGACGAAGGCAGACAGACCCGCTTCGTCCTCTTCCACACACTAATGTATTGACACGATTATCTGTCCCCCGCTACATCAGGACATGCTTTTTTCCCCACGGGGTACATCCCACCGGAACTAGAGAAACCCGAAAACCTGACATGTGTCGACCTAGGGAGATACCAGCTAAGCCGTGAGCCATCATGGACAAACTTTCGCGGTAGTGTCCGTCCTGGTTGACCGCATAGTGGGTTTCTCCCAAGGTCGAGGTATGTCAGGGGTGCGAGGTCCCACAGGTGCGGGGGGACGGAACCTGCGTTCGTTTGCAGTTCGCTACAGGCCACATCCCGCAGGAGCTGGGGGGTCTAGCGACCCTGACACACCTCGACCTTGGGACATACCAGCTAAGCGGTGAGCCACCATGAACTAAGTTTTGTGGCAGTGTCCGTCGTTGCTGACCACTTAGCCCGTTCCTCTCAACGTCGAGGTACGTCAGAGGCACCAGGCTTCCCAGCTGCGGCGGGAATGGAACCTGTATTCGTTTGCAGTTCACTACAGGCTGCATCCCACCGGAGCTGGGAAAACCTAGCATCCCTGACATACCTCGACCTTGGAGGAAACCAGGGAAGCGGTAAGTCACAATTAACAAAGATGGCAGTGTCCATCGTGGCTCACCGCTCACCTGGCTTCTCCCTAGGCCGAGGTATGTCAGGGGTGTGAGGTTTCACAGCTGCGTAGGATGCAACCTGTGGTCGCTGTTCGCTACAAGCTGCATCCCGCTGGAGCTGGGGAATCTGGCAACCCTTAGCCTCGACCTAGGGGGAAACCAGCCAACCCGTGAGTCATCATGCACAAAGTTTTGCGGCATTGTCCATCGTGGTTCACCGTTTGCCTGGTGTTCGACAACGGCGACGTATGCCAGGGGTGCGAGATTTCCCAGCTGCGGCGGGACGGAACCTGTGTTCGTTTGCCGTTCGCTACAGGTTACATCCCGGCGGGGCTGGGGGGCCTGGTGACCCTGACATACCTCGCCCTGCGAAAAAACCGTCGAAGCTGTGAGCCATGATGGGCAAACCATTGTGGCATCATGGCTCACCGCTTAGGTGGTTTTCCCCAAGGCCGAGGTGTGTCAGGGGTGCGAGGTTTCACAGCTGCGGGGGGATGAAACACGTGTTCGTTTGCAGTTCGCCACAAGCTGCATCCCGCCGGAGCTGGGAAATCTTTCAACCGTAACATGCACCGACCTTGCGGGAACCCAGGTAAGCGGTGAGCCATGATGCACAAAGTTTTGTGGCAGTGTCCGTCGTTGCTCATCGCTTAGCCGATTCCCCCCAAGGCCGAGGTATGTCAGGGGTGTGAGGTCTAACAGCTGCCGCGAGACGAAACATGTAGCCAACATCCGGAAAACATAATCGTGGGGCGACATGTCGGCACACGTCGAGGAGGAGGAAGCACGTGTGTCTGCCGATGTCATTGAAATCCTCCAATACTCTTGTGTTATAGTTGTCCTTTGCGCGCCCTCACGGTGCGGGTGACAGGGGTCCCACGACTGCATCACAGCTACTGGAGGTCCTCTGCTTCCGTGAAAGCATGTTCTCCATCCACGTCACAGGACGCGAAATTCCTCGTTCATCGCGGCTGCGGATCCTGGTTTGCCTTCGCGTACGCATCCCTCTAAACCTCCATGAGGTTACGCTATCGTTGCAGACGGTCACTCGTAAATGCCGTCTAGTATGCTGGAAACGCCAAATCCGCAAGCGTTCCCCGTTGTAAACACGTCACAACAGCGGTCGTCCCTCCGACATACTCTGTTTGACGCGTCCTACAACCTCCAATTCTTTCCCCCCAAGATCGGCCTTCTCTACAGCACACAAACAGACCTCTGTCACGAGCCTGCCACCACCACTCGGTGTCTTATCTGATCCATGTCTAACGTATCCCCAAGTCTGACCTTTCGCCCATGTCGGCCTCTGCCACGGGCTGTCCCTCTGCTTGATGTACGCCTCCTTGGCGGTGAGGTAGCTGTCCATGTTTTGGGCCTCTTCGTTTGTCTACGGAAAATTCGGGGGGAGGGGGGGGGGGGGCGTACTCTTGTGTTTTGCAGCGGTTAGACCATTGACCCCGCATCCTCGAGAGGACGGAGCGTTGTTCCCACAGGACCGATCAGCGATGGCCACTTCGTTCCTGGGTGGGGGGGCGTACTCATGTTATGCATGCCCCAGTTGTTCAACCCTTGACCACGCGTGCTCGAGAGGACGAAGCAATGGGGAGGGGGGACAACGAGTTTTGGGATTCAGGGACACTAGTGCACATATTTGGGGGGGGGGGCACTCGGTATTCTGCATGCCTTTGTCGTTGCACAATAGAGCTATTCCACATCTTTGCAACGTAGAGAGCGAAGCGCAGTCAGGTGTGGTTGGGATGGGCTGTTCCGTGCTCTAATATCCGCTTGAGGAACTATTCCTTTCGTAGAGATAGGCCACATTGGCCAGTAGTTTATGTAACCGCTGGTTCGAGCATAACGAACAAACCAAAAAAATATATAACCGACCAGCAACGGAAGCAGGTACCATGTCCACAAACACGTGGCAGTGATACCGCAACGCCCACGACGACATACATATACAGCACAAGCAACACATGAGAGGACACAATGATGACGTCATCAACAGCATCAGCAACAGAAACAACAACAGACATGCGCACCTTGATGTTACCCTTGACGGCCTGGTTGAGTCTCAACGACAAGATCCCGTCCTTGGCCTTGTCAACCCGGATGACCTGCGCGAGAGCGTGAGCAGTAAACGGCATGATGGACGGAAGTTGTATCTTCGACAAAACCAGGAAACGGAAGATGCCAACTTTTGGGTTCACACATGAAAGCTGTCAATCGCTGTCAGCGCCATGGCTTACATAGGGTGTGGGTGTAAAAAGTAGACTTGGCACGATGGTAAACGGGCTAGGTGCTGTTGGAGTGAAGGTTCCAGGGCATCGAATGTATGATAGTTCACATGGTGGCTTGTACGACGCGATCGCAGGTGGCTCTGGGCGTCGCGGTAAGCATGGTCGATGACTGACACGCACTGTTGCAGGCTTTCGACACCGCATTTCTCTTGACCGAGCCATCTTTGGTCAGGGGATACCCCTAAGGTTGCTAGATCTCCAGCTTGCCTTCAAGAGTAACAGCAACGCTTCCACACTCTCGTGTTCAGCGGTCACGAGAAGCTCTCTCTCTCTCTCTCTCTCTCTCTCTCTCTCTCTCTCTCTCTCTCTCTCTCTCTCTCTCTCTCTCTCTCTCTCTCTCTCTTCTCGCTCTCCCTTCTTTTCCTCTATCTCTCTCTCTCTCTCTTTCCATCCACACATACCTCTTTCTCTCTGCCTATACCTTCTCTCTCTTT